GGAGGCCCGCTTTTTTCCCTCCTCCCTCCTCCCTCCTCCCTCCTCCCTCCTCCCTCCTCCCTCCTCCCTCCTCCCTCCTCCCTCCTCCCTCCTCCTTTTGTAACCCGGGCGATATTATGCCGCGGTGCTGTCACGGGGGGGGGGGGCGGCATCCGTCGTAGCTTTGAAAACTCTCGGAACATACGCCACACTACTCATCAAGGGGGTGTAGTCGTCAACTGCAGTCGCACTGCTCGGAGAAGCGGAGCGACGGATTTCAGCTAAGTTGATATGCTGAACTCCAGCACAGACCAGGGTCAACGGTCAACGGTCAGCTTTCGCTTGTTGCAGATGAATTTCCCCCCCCCCCACTTTTGGGACTCCTCTCCTCCTCTCCCCTCTCCCCCAGCATATCACCTAGGACACCGGCAGCTCTCACTTCCATCCACTTCCTCTCTCGCATATGATTCCCATTTCCACCACCCCCACCCTCAGGGCCGTGTGGTGATGTGGTCATGGCTCCGGGAACGTCACACCTCCCCCGACCCCCCCACCGCACCCGCAACGTACGCCGGTGCCATCAGCGTGCCCAGGCTGTTGACCCGTGGGTCAGTAGACCTGTCGACAACGACGACAACGGCGCCAGCACCGAAACGTGGGACAACGGGAGGAATCGCTGCCGAGACGGCGACGGGACGGACCCGTGGGTCGGCTGTGACGTGGAGGCTGCACCAGGAGCCCCTTCCGGAGCTATGTCGGCTGCGAAGGGGCGACCCGGAGGGACCCACGGGTCTGGACGGGGCGGTGCTGGAGGCGGGAGCGGAACCGGTGGCTCTGTGAGTGATCGACCGCGGTGTACGTGGCGGGGTGTGGGGGTGTAGGGGGTGCATGTGTGTAGCAGGGGACGGAGGAGGGGGTCGATTTTGGAGAGACCCGCTGAAGTGCTTGGAAAGGGGAAACAACGCATTTACCCTTAACAAAAGACAAAGGTAAGAAATTAAAAACAAGGACTTCAGTATGTATGTATGTACGTATACATGTGCGTCGTTTGCTGAGAAGCTTCTCTAGCTGACCCCCTTGCCACTGGCGGCCTCTCGTCCTCCACTTCCACCTCCACCTCCACATGCACACAAACACATGTGGTCCCGTACGGCCGTACGAGGGAGCCCCAGCCGGCTTGGCGCCTGTGGATGTGTCACCCCGCTCAGCCATCTGGACGTCGAGCTTCGCATAAGTCCATTGTCGTACGACGGCCCAGCCGACGGCAGCACGGCACCGTACAACGTGTCATGGATGCTATCCATTGAGCCTGGCTCTAGCGACAGCGGGCGCGGAGGCGGTGGCGGAGACAGCCCTAGCGTTGGCGGCGATGCTGCCGTACTGTCGTACGACTTCGCCACGTGCCAGCTGGCCGCCACGGTAGGTCCAGCAGACGCAGTACGGCACCTGCGGCAGCAGCAGCAACTACAGGGCTCAGTCAGGGTTGACGGCACGCGGACTGCCGTACAGCTGCCTGCATCACCACCTGCCGCCGGCACCGCTGCCAAGGCTGCTGCTGCTGCTGCTGCAGCTGACGCTGCTGCGGCAGCAGGGGCAGCGCCGGCAGCGGATGCCGCGCCGCCGGGCGAAGTTGCGGCGGAGGCGGAGGCGGCGGCCGCCGCGACGGCGGCGGCTGGTGCATCATCGCCGCTGCCCCCCTGCTGCCGCCGTGTGGGTGGTGTGCTGTCAGGTCAGCGAAGGGCCCCAGGAGTGGTCCCCCCCCCTCTGGAGCTCCGACTGCTATTGGACCACAGCTGCATGGAGCTATTCGCGACAAGCAGCGGAGAGGTCCTCACCACAAGGGTGAACCCCCCGCCGCCGCCGCCGCCGCATTCGCCGCGGCCGTCACCCTCGCCGTCGCTGCTTCCAGCGGCAGCGGCAACGCCGCCTCCGGCGGCGGCGCCGGCGCTTCATACGCCCTCGCCGGGGCATCATGATGGTTCCAGAGGCGGCGATGATGTGGAAGGCGGGTGTGGAGGGGGTTGGGTGTTGAAGATGTGGGCTGTGCGCGGCGGGGCGGCCCAGGTGGAGTCGGGGCCGCTAGGGGTGAACGGGGGCGAAGGGGGAGGGGAGGGGGGAGGCACTGGGGCTGGGAGGGGGTCCGGCGGGAATGTGATACGGGTGGAGCGGTGCCGGATGTGGTGCATGGGGAGTATATGGACAGAGCAGTGAGGGATATGGGGGGGTGAGGTGATGCCTGGGAAGGAGGAGGAGGAGAGGAGAGAGAGAGAGGAGGAAGGGAGAAGGAGGGGAATTCGAACAGTCGGGGTCTCCGCAAAGTCAATCATGCAAGTTCCGACGCGAGTGTTGACGCGGCCAGTGATGGCGCTGGAAGTAATTTAAGCGGATCACGTTTTGCAGCCGCGTTGTGAAAAAGGAGAAAACGTTCCATAAAGTGTTTGAATCGTCGCGGCAAATTACAGCCCACTTTTGGTCCAGGCAGCACATGGCGGTGCACTTTTGTCAGACGTTTACGTTAAAAACAAAAGAAACTGTTTCAAAAATTATTTACGTGTTTGTTTTAGTTTGCCGAACAGGAGTTCCCAGTGCGACTGGTTGCGTAAGAAGTGTGTGACAGGTGCGACTCGTCGGTGTGAAATTTCAAGAAACAGTGCTTGCAAAGGCAGCAAGCTAGTAACGCGAAAGCCGCTGTTCCGTGTAGACAGCAGAGTTCGTTTCCTGGTGTCCCAAAAGCATCCCTATCTGTTCGTCTGTCGGTAACTGAATTTGCGCCACCATGCATTGGACAGCTGCAATCCTTAATTACATGTTGCAGTGCAGGATAACGTTACGGAAGGTTTGCAGCTGGTTCTGAAAACGACGCGCATGTAGCTTTGAAGTCAGCCTGTCATACCAACGAATCCTCTGAGCAACAGAAATGCAAGGGTTTCTGTCTTACCTCTTTACATTACAATGTGCGGGCATGCCTGTTGGACAATTTCGGGTTCGGTTGCTCCGTTTGTATGTTCGTTGCACGGGCTGGAAGCGGTTGCCCAGAACGTGGAACTTAACGAGTGGATTTTACAGTTCACAGTGACAGCAATGGTTGTGACAGATATATCGTCCCCACTTGTGCAAAACTCTATTTGCAGCGACGATTAACAACACTATATTAGCACGTCCCTGGAACAGCTTCGCCTGTTTTCTCCCGTCCGACCGGACGACAGAAGCTCTGAAGCTTTGTAGTAGCCGCCGACTCCTCCAAAAGAACGAGTTATACTAATAATAATTCTATAGGACAAAGAATCCAATATATTTCCAGCACGTGTATGAAGGCAGACCACTATCTTGTCGCGACAACAATATGTTTTTGGCATGTTTCTGGCCTCAAAAGCGCCCGCGGCCCTTCCTACAAATTTTCATTCAATTTGTTAATTTAATCTTCCAAATCTCCTTCCTAAGATCCCAGCAGCTGCCGTTCCCACTTCCACCCTCAGCTTCAGTCTGCCCGTCCTTCAGTCGCTATGCCAGGCTCCACCGCGCAGCTCTTCGCCACGCAGCAGCAGACCTCGCTTCTGTTGGACCCACCATTTTCGACGCCAAGACGGACGGAAGAGCGCTCGACTCGCGCCGCATGACACAGTATCGTCACCACTTTCGAGGCCGGGCCCAGCGAGACTACTCCCACCCTTCCCGCCACACCAGCACAGCCGTCCCAAATCCGCACCCCAACCGCCATTACCTCCGCACCCTCACCTCCAACCCATCCTCCGCCACTCTTTCCTCCTCCACCGCACCCATCCCGACCTCCGTCAGCGGCGGCAGCACCGGCGACGGAGCTGTCGCTGCCACCACCACCACCACCACCACCACCACTACCACCACCACCACCACCGCCGCCGCCGCCGCCGCCGCCACGCCCTCGCGTCCCCGATTCCGCTGGGTCGTCACCGCTGATGTCGACGGCTTAGCAGACAGGCTGGTCAACGCCGTATCTTCCTTCTACTTCGCCTTGTTGACCAATCGAATCCTCTGCATCCAACCGGCAACTGCTAACCAACCCGGGCTGCAAACCGCCTTCGCTGCACCCAACATCGATTGGACCTGCGGAGGACTCGGACCAGCAGACGCCGACGTCGACGCCGACGTCGACGGCGGCGGTGGCGGTGGCGGAGGCCCGCCGCTGGTTGGCCCCGACGTCGCCTTCTGGGACCCCTCCGCCGACGATGCCTGGTTGGATCCCAACTTCCCAGTCTATCACACATTCATCCGCTCCAATCTCAACACTGTCGGCCCTGCCAACGCCACCACCATACTGCTCAGGCTTCATCGCGGTATCACTGTTGGGCTGTTCAACAACCCCAACCACAGGCGGCAGCTGGAAAATCTGGGCCTGCGGCCCGACACCGCATTCGGCTGCGCGGCGGCCTTCCTGTTCTTTCCCAACGCGGAGACGCGGGCGCTGGCGGCGGAGGACCCGGACCTCCATTCGTTGATGTTGGACGAGCATGTGATTAAAATCGGGATCCAGATTCGGCTGGGGGACGATAAGATCCTGGCGCAGATTGCGGCGACGGGGGGGACCCAGGGGAGCCCAGGCGATGCCGGGGGCAAGGTGGCGGACAAGGTGAGGCGGGGTGAAGGATGGTGTGTGTGTGTGTATGTATGTGTTGAAATGAACTACGCAGCGGGAAGTGAAGAAATCACATTCTGAACTTTAATGAAAACAATTAGTCCAGTACTGGTCCAGGAGAATGTAGTGATGGAGGAGTGGTAGCTGGGCATTTCTTTCAGGATGTCTTTATATGTATGTAGTGGAAATGGCTGGAGTACTTTGAAAATGCCGACAAGGAAGAGAAAGACGCCAGCGCTGGCAGGAATAGCCGTCGCTGTAGTGGCGATATGGACTGCAGGGAGGGGGGGTTAATAATCTGAAGCCACGATACCGGAAAAGCTGAAACGGATACACTAACAATTTTTTCGTAGTCTCCAGCGACGTGTCTCCAGCCTTTTCCATAAAAAAAACCTGCAGGCATAGCTTGAAGTTTTCATAAGATGTTGAACTTAAGCCGTGGATGATTTGGAGAGGCCGTGCAAAGGCGCTGCGCTGTTGTGGAGAGGCGCGACTGATTGGTGGTGGGCGACTGGAACTGACTGCAGTGGCGTGTGTGTGTGTGTGTGTGTGTGTGTGTGCGTGTTTTGGGGGAAAGGGGAGAGGTGTGAAAAGTCAGGCGGTGTGGGCAACCGCGCATGTTTTCGTCTACGTTTGCGTATGTTTGCATGTTTGTATGTATGTATGTTGTTACAGGGTGGTATAGCTTCACCAGCGGCCCCCTTTTGTATGTATGCATGTTTATTTGTTTGTTTGTCATGACTGGAGAAGTGAGATACCCACACCGCCCTCGCCATCAGGATGTCGCTCTGGACCCCGACACGGAGCGGCGGGTGGAGGGCTACTTCGAATGCGCCCAGCAGCTGGCTGAGAGTGTGGAGCTGCTCAGCGGTCCGGACGCACCCCGACAACAACGACAACAGCAGCAGGGGCAGAACGCGACGAGGCCCGGTAAGTGGGGGTGTGGAGGTGGGAGCGGGGGGTGGAGAACCAGGGCGACCCCCCGGGGGCAGAGGAGAGGTTGGGGAAGGAAAGCGGGTCTCAAGATGTTTTGGATCCAGACCCCGGAGGCGAGGGGGGAAGGGGGGAAGGACGAACCACGAGCGAGCGAAGCTGCTGGGGCGGATGTAAAGAAAGCATAACTAACCAGTCGGCGGTTGCGAAGAAGCAGTCATCGCGATGATGTAATGATGACGACAGCGGGAAAAGGGGAAGGGTGGAGGACCCCACATACACACAGGCACACACACGTGGACATATCTGTGGGTGTACGGAAGGAACACGCAGGTGGCGTCCACCTCAGGAAGCAGCAGCAGCAGCAGCAGTAGTAGCGGCAGCAGTAGTAGCGGCAGCAGTAGTAGCAGCAGTAGCAACAGCCGGAGAAGGCGGGGAGGCGGCACCTGACCCTGCTAGCCTGCGGGTCCTTGTTCCATCAAGAGGTGCAAACCATTTCCAAATGACACTCGCCGTGCTTCATTCACTCATCCATCCATTCACTCACTCACTTAGTCACGGGCTTTTCGTTGTCCTTTTCCACATTGTGTCGATGTGTGACATGCTGCCCCGGCGGCACCACACAGGGGCTCCTCCCCTGCCCACCCCCCACCCAAACGCCGCGGACCACCCGCCGCTGCGTATACAGTACTACTTGATGACGGACACTCTAGCTATACGGCAACTAGCGCAGCGGAGGTGAGCGGAGGCGGTTGTCTCCCGGCGGGGCTGGTATTTGATGACCTGTCATGACCTGCCGGAGTCGGGGGGTGTCGGGCCGGTGGTTGGGCGGTGGTTTGAGTGGGAGTGGGAACGGGGAAGGGCGCGGTGGTCTGTACCGAAGGAGTTGGGCCTGTTCCCCAACAAGCCCTCCCTTAAACCCCCCTGTCCCGAGGTCGGCTCCTTCAAAACCGCCCACTGGTCAGTTCTGCTTCTCTTTCCTTGGCAGCAGCTTCACTCGGGTTCGTGGTTCGTCTTTTCCCCCCTGTCTTCCCCCTGCTAGGTTTGGCACGCAGCTGCTAACCATGCGCGCTACCGCCGTACAGTTCTTCCGTAATGTCACCCCTGACGGTCTCCGCCGTACAGCCCTGGAGCACTGGTACTTCTCCCGGAGCCACCACCACGTGATTACGGCACAAAGCGGCATGGGTCGTACGGCAGCTTTCATGGGGCTGAGGCCCGGGCCGTCCGTGTTCAGCATGGATGCGGACGTGGGGGGAGTCAGGGTTTGGGGACGCGGCTGCGCGGTGTGGGATGCGGACAAGCCCATGGACGTGTACGGCATTTGGTCGGGGGTGTGAATGTGAATGATATATCCTTAGGAGGAGAAAGATGCGTGAGCAGGAGCAAGAGTCAGCGACGACGAGGGCGTGTGGCATTATGGGGAGACCTGGGCTGTGCGCTTAATTCCGGATGAATCCACCATGACTTTGTTGTTGTGGTGGTGGTGGTGGTGCAGCCCCTCGGTGCACTGGAGTGATAAGCAGACACAAGGAGGGAGTGAGTGGGGGGAGAGGAGAGGAGGGAGCATGTGCGGCAAATGTGTGTTTGTGTGAGTGCATCTTGTGCACCTCCGAGAAGAAATTGAAGTAGTTAGGAGGGGAGGAGGAGGGGAAGGTGGGCACCTGGGAGGACGCATGTGCAACAGGAGGTGCATTTCGCGAATGGTAAGTCGGCGCATGTCGGTCCTAAGTCGGCTGATGTTTTTTCGTCATGCTAATGTTTTTCTTGTCGGCTATGCATGGAGCGGTTGGTTGGTGAGCGTTGCGGGTCAATAAAGGGTAGAGGGTGCGTCGCCAAGCGAGGTGAGGTGGTGTGAGGTGGGGTGAGGAGTACATAATCATACGAGCCGATATGTGTCACGGCGGCTTCATCGACAGATTGATTCAGCTACCACGTACGACTGCAATCTGCGTGTGTTTGCATGGCACGTGTAGGTGGGGGAGGTGGGGTGCCTGTGATGCCGTGCGGTGCAACGTGAGCGGGATGGAGGTGTGATGGGCATGGTAGTGTATTCTAATACGCATTCATGGTGTGTGTACATATACAGACGTACATAGGGTTTTACCCCCGGAGGTACCTACTCCCGGCCCCCTTCCCCCCTTCTATGGACTTAGGATGGACATCGGCATTCCTGCATATGACACCCCCCTGGCACACTGGGGGCTGTGGCTGGTCAGGACCCTGGGGGATGGGCGCCCCTTTGGCCCTCGTCGGGCCCCGCAACTACGGTTGCCTGTGACCGCTGACAGGGGATCCCACCCCCGGAAACGACATCGAGGGAAAGGCGTGCGGAAGCGTGCGTAGCTTGAAGCCTCCTTTCCTTTCCTTTCCTTTCACATGCGGCTGGCTCCTGTCTCACCTGGTTCCTGTCAGCTGGTCGCAGGCCATCCCTAGGGCTTTCCTGACAGCACCCCTGCAGCATGCAAAGGCGCAACGGCCTTTCCACTCGAATCCCCCACTCGTGGCTTTGGACATGAAAATGAATCCAGGCAGCAGCCACAGCAGCTGCGCCCACCTCACCTTGCCACCTCGTCTCCCGTCTTCTCCTCGCCCATCCCCCCACGCCGGCTTCCCGCCGTCCTCCTCCCGCGCCTCACGCACGCGCGACGTAAAACCGTCCCGAGAAGAATACGGGAAACCCCGAGAGCACATTTTACGAATATACTTCCGTCTCTTTTCTCCTAGGCCTTTTGCTCACGACTCAACAAAGAAAGCTCAGCTCCTCAACAAAACCTGCGCACGGGAGACATACCTACGGTTCCTGCCCGGGGGAATATCACCAACCCCGGGTGACGCGCCCCCTAACTAAGAAAACACCCTCTCCCCCCCTTTTCCCATCCTTCGTGGCAGGAGGGTAGCGGCCCCGGCTGCTTTCCCTCCCTCTCCCCCTTTTCAACATCGGCCCTAGCAACACAAACAAAACCGCAAACACCATTACAGCCCTACCCCCGGTCTGTCCCCGTGCCCGCTCCCGTCCCGGTTAGCGCCGCCAGCTGCGCCATCAGGTCCTCCGTGCTCGCATCCACCGCCACAATACCCTCCGCCGCCAACGTCGCCGCATCCACACCGCGATCCGTGGGCATGGAAAACTCCACACCAGCCGCCAGGACGGGTTGATCCGCCGGGGCTGCGGGCGCCGCCGCCGCCGGTGCCGTGGCCTCCGGCTGCTGCCCCGAAGTGATGTCATCAGAGGTGGAGGGGGAAGTGGGGTTGGGGGTCGTCGAGGGGACCGAGCCGCCGCCGGCGGCGGCGGCGGCGGCGGCGACAGTGCTACTTGGTGCCGGTGAGGAGCCCCCCGTGTGCTCCTCTGGGGAGGCCACCTGGACAGCGGCACACAAGAGGTGGATCCAGCCGAATTAATTATGATATGGGGTGTGCGATGTGAAGGTGAGTTAGCGTAAAAACATTTTTTGTGTACAGGCTGAAAAGCTGTAAGACGGGATGTTGTTCCATGTGTCGAATTTCCACAGCGTTGCGCCAACGAACGAGCAAAGAATAATCTTGAGTATTTTACTTTTGTGTTTTTGCGTGCACTTCCATGGTGTTGAGGATTCATGTGTGTACAAGGCCCCTTAACTTAAAGTTGGATAAAAATCAAACTAGGGCTCTCCGCCCCACCAACGTTCTGAAACCCCCCACCTTTCCACACATACATGTACATATACATCTGTAGGATAGTATGATGCATATACATATGTATCATAGTACGTATGATATCATAGTGCATATCATATAACTACACATACTATGTAACTCTTTCCCATCCCAGCCGTCCCAGGCCCTCACCACTTCTATCCCCCACTCGTTCTCTTCGTGCAACGGCGCCGCCGCCGCAGCTGCTGCCGCCGCCGCCGCCGCCTCCTGCTCCGCCCGTGCCGCCCGCGCCTCCGGGCTGTTCCTCCGCGCCTCCTCCTCCTGCTGTAGCTTACAGCACAGCGAGTTGACGCAGGCAGCTGAGGGCTTGATCTCCATGGTGGGGAAGAAGTCCTTGAGGCTGTTGTAGCCTAGGTACCTGTGGACGTTGATACGGTACACGGTGGAGTGGGGGCGGGTGACAGGGTCGCGGCTCTGCGTGTGTATGTATGTATGTATGTAGACGAAGACCCGCGGGGTGATGTCCGTGGGGACGTTACGGGCCACCCGTCCCAGGGTTCGGTAAATACTTTCACCCTGGCGCCACCCCCTCCCCCACCCGTTCGCCTTGCCCCCCACAACCACGAACCTATTTCCCCCCAACTGGTTCTGCCCTTCCCGAACTAGCTTCCCTCCCGTACCCACCCTTACCCGACGCACCCTTTTCCACACGCACACATACATATACACACACTCTCTCTCACTTCGACACGGTTCCAAATCCCAGCAGGTGCTTGAGCGCCGCCTGCACCAGCATTCCCGCCACAATGCCCATGGTGGTGGGTAGGGAGGCGGCACACACGCCCTCCCGCTTCAACGTGCGCTCGTCAATGCCGGAAGCCACTACCAGCGGAGGTACGCACTGGAAGCAGGCGGTCAGGCCCGGGACCAGCAGCTGGGGGAGGAGGGAGGGAGGGCGAGGAGGGGGAGGCAGCAGGGAAGGAGGGGAGGGCAGGGGGGGGGAGGGGGGATTCACATGATGCAAGACGCAAAGGGTCAACACTGCCGACACACGCATGCAAAGGACCTCCAAAGGTCAGAGGACGGACACGTCGGTGGGGAACCGTATGTCATACAGAATGATGCAAACGTAAACAGGATGAGACACATACACACACACACACACTTACACTCGCTCGCTCGTCCCTCACACGTACGCCCACCTGTATGTGCCCCGCCACCGCATCCTCGCTCACGCCGCTCTCCATCCAGGTCTGATGCAGCTCCAAACAAACCTGACACCGCGACCACCACCACCACCACCACCAGCGGCGGCAGGACGGAACACGACATGATAGTCAGGTAGGTAGCGCGACGTAAACAAAATGAGCGCAGGGGGTAGCAGCACGTAGGTCACACGCACGTAGTAGAGGACAGTCCAATGCTCCCGTTTCATCACACATACGTAGTGAACTGTACTGCCTCCCTCCCCTCCCCTTCCCCCCCTCCTCTCCTCTCTGTTCGGAGTCGCGGCAGCTGGTTCTTGTCCCTCTTCTGCATCGTCTAGTTCCCATCCCAACCGCCCCCTCATTACTCCACTCCCCACTCCCCATTTCCCTCCCTCCCCCCCCACTCCGGCCCCCACCTGGTTGATGGTAATCCTGGCCTCGTAGTTATCCACACAGCTCAGCACCAGGTCCACGCGAGAGCTCACTCCGTCGGGGCCAAGAAGAGAGGACTTGAACGCATCGAAGCCCTAAGAGGTAAAGAGCAAGTTGGGAACAAGTTAATTAGCAAGCCGGTAATCTTCTTCTTCTCACGGAGGACCTCCGCGCGCTCCAAAGAACACATACGTGCATACATAACCACATACACAACGACATACATACATGTAGACGCACCTGCAGTGTAGTGATGTTCATGGTATAACTCTCCACCTCCACATCGGGATTGATCTCCTGCGTGGGACACAACCACGGCGGCAGACAGACAGACAAACAGTCAGACAGACAGACAGGCCGTCAGTCTCAGGCAACCAGGTTGATGTGACCTTCCCACCTTTTCCCAACATCCTTATACCCCACCACCCATCAGTGCTCCGGCCCCCTCACGCCTCCCACCATCACCTTCACAACCACAATCCGAGCCACTGCCACCGGGCACAGCAACCCCCTGCCTTCCTCATCCCTCCGTCCCTGCCCCCACCCACCCACCTGCAATGTCTTGCGAGCCGCATCCGTCTTAGTCATACCGCAGTGCTCCGGTCTGCGACATGGCGCAGTAGCGTGGTGGTGGTGGTGGGATGCGTATTGGTAAGGGTGTCAGCGGAGGGATGTGTGTGTGCGCTGTGTGTGTGCATGTGTGTGTGTGGGGGGGGGGACGTAAGAGGAGCGGCCCTGCTGGGGAGCACAGGCTCCACAGCGCGGTTATGATGCCCCTCCTTCCCCACCACAGCCTCCCGTCCCCGCACAAACAAGACGCGTCCCAGGCCCCCTCGGGGGCCCCCATCCATAACCCACACCCCCTAAACTTCAGCTTGCTTGGCGGGCCCCCCTCCTTACCTGAAGAAAAGGCGGTTCATGTTGGCCAGCTCCACCTTGTCGTAATCATAGATGAGCAGCCGACCCACCCCGCAGCGGGTCAGCATCTCCGCAGCCACACTGCCCACACCGCCCACACCCACCACCGCAACCTGCGGGTCCCATGGACACCACCACCACGGCCATCACCACCACCGTCAGGGAAGGCAAGGCGGACAAAGCAGCCGGTGCACAGGCACATACGAGTTACAAGTTACAAGTTCCGCACGCAAGTGCGGGTATGTCCGTAAAAGCGGGGGAGGCCCCTGGACATACGGGTAACAATATTTTGCGACGGCGCGGACAACAGAATCCGAACCAGGCATAAGGACAAGCACACGACAGGCGAGCATATGGAGGCAAAGGCCGTCGCCAACGCATATATGATGCTGTGGACAAAGACGTTTTCCCTTTCTTCCGCATCGGCGGTGGAAAGGAGGAGCAACGAAAAAGAGGTAAGGTGGAAGGCGTGCGGTGTGTTTTAAAATAAAGTCTTTGTGTTGCCCAGCCCCCAAGTCCAGCCCCCTCTGCCCCTGTGAGCGCTACTGAGTACACCGTGCGGGGTCTGTTGTGCTTTTCAGACGCAAGGACATGATAACCCGCTGTGCCTGAGAGCTGCGTGGGGAGGGAGTTCATGAGGGCCCACCATGCGCCTGGTGCCCAACAAAACACGCCTCCTCCTACCCACAGCTACCCCAACTAGCCAGGCTATCTCACCCACCCATGTGCCCACCGCCCATCCACTTTTGCAGTTCCCACTTTCCAGCCCATTTCGCTCTAAGACCCCATTCTAAGACCCCCCTACCAGACCGATTCGCGCACCGTCTTGGTCCGAATGCGCTCATAGTTTTCCACGATGCCCATCCGCTGTAGCGCCATCAGCCGGCTGTACGGATTTGAGTCCACCACCTCAGCGCTCATCTTGTCAATCTTGCCGCGGGCGGCGCCGCCAGCAGGGCCCGGCAATGCGGCAGGGGCAGCCCCAGCCGTTGACGGGCCAGAGCCCTCCGCTTCCTTGCCCATAGAGACCCTACAGGGGCCCGTCGCCATACAGCGATGTGAGCAATGTGCGTGCATGTGAAGAGATGTGTATGAAGAAGGAAACCAGATATCGTGGTCCCCATTGTGGCTTCCTCCTTTTTTAGTGATATTGCCCCCGATAAGTATGCATTTGCTCCCCTGGGTCCCTGGCTGAAGGGGGAAATTTAAGATTTGAACCGTAAGCGCACATGCGCTCTATCCGGGGGGTCCTAGAGCCACGTACTTGGTAAGAGTGGACTTGAGCTTATCAGTAATGGCAGTGACTTGCTGGGATAACTGCAAGGACGTGGGAGGCGCGGGGAGGGGTCAGCGGGCGATGGGGGTTACGTGCCAGGACAGACGACGTTTCCTCGATCCAAACTTGCAGGTTAAGCAAAACCTATGACTCGTGCAATACATGATCTTCGAGAGGAAGAAATAATTGTGGACTGGGGCTTACCAGCAGGCAGATCAAACTTAACCATAACGCTGATCTGCTATGCAACGGTGACCCAGAGCTGTGATGATGCAGCTCACCTCACCTTAGCAACATTTTCCTGCATTGTGACTGCATTGAGAGATTCCACGTGCTCCTGGAGGCGTTGCAGCTCCTCCGTCAGCTCCTTTGCTCTGCTAACGCTTGAGCTAGCCACCTGATTACTTGTGGAGTCAGGTGATGTGATTTCCATTGCAATTGCAAAACTCAAAGCAGAAACTTTACACTAACGAGTTTTAGGGCCGAAACACAGTCGATCCAAAAAGTGCCTTCGCTACCTTCGAAACATAAGGAGTTACATAGACTTTATCAGTACGAAGACGTTCATCGTGTGCTGCAAGGATACTCTGAAGTGGTCCTCATAGCATGTACGGTACTCAATCGGCAGGATTATGCATTAGGCACAACAAGTCCATCGTGATTCATCCCCTGTGGTGAATCCATTTGAAGTACGTTTTGCGGCAAGGCTACGCACGAGTGGGTGACCAGTTTGCATCCAGCTCGCAGCTTTATTTGGCTTGGTCGCTGTCTTTCCTCGTGATAGTAACGATAATCTAACTTAGCGGAACAACCAGCGACTTCATATTCCATAGGTTCGTAGTCAATATCCTTGCCACCATTATAATCAGGGTGTGGCGCAGTGTCGTTCCAAAGGCTCTGGGACCTCCCTTGCTCGTATCTCCCAGCGGAAACGATATGAGATTATCCCCACGCCAGTTAGCAAGACCATCAGCAGGAGCACCGCGGTGGCGTCAGACCACAGCGCATCTTCCAAATCTGTGGTCAAAGTCCGTATGCCAGGCCTCGACCTCCGGTACCGGCGAGACTCCAACATCCAGCAATGGCCCTAGCACCTCTTACACCACCACCAGCACGATTTCGACGACGACACAGGTGCAGCAAGCAATAACCCCAGTCGCGCCCAGCGGAGCCGCCTCGGTGCCTCCTGTCCAAGCAGCAGAGGAGCTCGCCGACCTGCCTTTCTACAGCCAGTTCCCCCTGGACCGGCGGGCAGACTGGCGCCGCGATCAGAAGCTTCTCGATCAGTTGTTCGCCTGCCCAGACGCAAAGCTAGTTCCCCTGTTCAAGGACATGGTCCTCGTACGCCCCGCCACCGCACCTACAGAACCCGCCGCTGCTACCGCCGCCTCAGCCAGCCCCGCGGCGCCCCTGCTGCAGCCTGTCCTGCTCTGCCCCGCCGCCGCGCATTCCGACCTCTCCGCTGCCAGCCCCGCCCGCGTTTTCCTCGGTGTCGATGCGCTCGGCGCGCCATACTTCGCCGCCGCTGCCGCATCGCCTGCCGCCGCCCGGGACCTCGCCGCCGCACATCCGGGGGCAGAATGGCGCGCTGCGCGTACCGCCGGCCCCGACCTGGCGCCTAGTGACGCGGCCTTGCTGGCGGTGGCATCGGGGCTGTTAGTATGGCACTGCGCCAACGGCTTCAGCCCCGTCACGGGAGCGCCTTCATCGCCCACACCGGGCGGCTTCTCTCGCCGCTGCACCGCCGGCGGCGGCAGCGCCTACCCCCGCATCGACCCCGCCGTCATCATGCTTGTTAGTCATCACCAGGACTTCGCCCTGCTGGGCCGCAAGGCGGAGTGGCCCGCGGACAGGTAACAGACAGAGGGGCCGCCAGGAAGGGGTCATTAGGAAAAGATGGAGAAACTGCGGACTCGGGCACGACATGAAAAGGCGCAGGTTGAAGGGGTTTCGGAGCTGGCAGTTTTCCTTCCCTGTCTGTCTGTGAGCTGCGTCTTCGCACTTTGCCCTGCGTTCGTGCTCGCACAGCGCGCACTATTCCCCTTTCCCCTTACCTCTCGTGGTTCGTCATTCCCCCCTTTCCCTCCTCCTTTCTTCCCTCCTCTGTGCCCGTCAGCCTGTCGTTGTTCTCTCTTTGTCCTCTTTGTCCTCCGTTTGGAGGTACTTGACTTGGGAGTCCAGCATATCTTGCCATATCCGCACTATTCACCTGAACCCATGCGCCGCGCCGTTGCCTCCCTGCTGCTCCGCTGCACTCCAGCAGCCCGTTCCCGCGGCGCCCCTGTCCCCCGGCCCTCATCAATGTCTTCTTGCGCTCAGTAGCGTAGCGGTATTCCTTTAATACCCATATGCCCATATACCTATATACCTATATAGCTGTATAGGTATATACCTACACATCGATTTCCTCAGAACAACCACACCGTACCCCGCTCTTTGCTTCCTGCTTCGCAACCCCCTCCCCCCTCTCCAGGTATTCTACTCTGGCGGGTTTTCTCGAGCTAGGAGAGCCCCTGGAGGCAGCTGTCGTACGGGAGGTCGCGGAGGAGGCCGGCGTCGGAGTGGACCTAGCCTCCGTTACCTACGCCGCCAGCCAGCCGTGGCCCTTTCCAAGGTCACTAATGATCGGCTTTCACGCCCGTACCCCCACACCTCCAGTTGCCGCCAGCGGCAGCAACAACAATAGCAGCAGCAATGGTGGAAGCGGCCGGCAGTGGTGGCAGCCCGCGCCGGCGCCGGCGAGGGGATTCGAGCTGCTGCCGCCGTTGGGTCGCCGGGCGGCGCTGGACGTGGGGCTGTTCCGCGAGGAAGTGGAGGCGGTGCTGGGGCCACTCCAGGGGATGCAATGGCCGGTGGCGGATCAGGAGGAGTTGCAGGACGTCCGTTGGTTCCATCGCGACTGGCTGCGGGCAGTGTTCCGCGCACCCGGCGGAGCGGCATCGGTGCCCGGCGCGGGCCGCTTTAACGTACCCGGGCCGTACTCTCTGGCGTACCGCCTGATCACGTCTTGGGTCGGGACGTGCCCTGGCGGCGGCGCAGCCGCTGCCGCCGCCACCCCAAGCGATTCCTGGGACGGTGATGCCATTCCGCAGGTTGTAATCAGCAGTTCCGGAACTTTTAAGTATGTGCTGGCAAGGTTATGGGACCCCAAGGCGGAAGGAGACGGGCGCAGCAAGTTGTTGGTGTGGGGTGACGTGCGCGCCGCCTATCACAATGATGTGCTTCAGAAAGCCAAAGCGCTGGCACGGCCGCTGGGCCTGCAGGTCACCCCGCTTGGCGGCGGCCGCATCAACCACGATTCCGATGCGCGTGCCGTACAAGTATACGGCTACAGTGCAGCGTTCGGGCCGGCGCCGCACGAGGTAACGGCGGCAATTATCCATAAGTGGTTTCCTTTGTACGACAGGCAGTCCGTCACGGTGTCGTACGATGGGTACTGAGCCGTCATGAGCTGTCGGTGAGGCGGATAAGGTGGGCCCACGGGCTGTGGTGTGGTGGTGATGGCGGCAGTTAGGGGTCCGGTATACGGCGGGATGTGGCCCCGACTGTTAAAGCAGGATGGGCAACACACACGCACCTTGTGTGTGTGTGTGTGTGTGTGTGTGTGTGTGTCAGAGGGGGGGAGAAGTGGTCGGCGGCCGCAGACGTGTCATGGCATGATGCGCTGTGTTGCTGCTGGCATACGCCGGGTTGCATTCATTCTTTCGTTCTTGCACTTGCGCATGTGTAATGGCATTTATTGATGTGATGAAAAGACTGCTGTGTGTTATCCTAGAACTGAGCTTATCCTAGAACTGGAGCTTATCCTAGAAGTGAGCAGTAATGGAAAGGGACGGACGAGTGTGCGAGATGTGCGGGCAGGCAGGTGAGGCTCGAGGCAATTTAAAACGTTGAAGCTCGGGGGAAGTTTTGGGGGGAAGCTTGGTGCATACAGACGTGGCAGGGCGGGAATGGCCCTGATGGAGGACTGGGGTGGCACGGGCTAATGACTCGAATGCAGCCGATTGGTGTCATCATCAAGGGGGATGAAAGGCGCTGTAATCCGTGGCTGCATGTCACATGCACAGCACACGGTGTGGCTTACGCCTCCGTAGGGGAATACAACTCAAAAAAGGTATACCGCACACATACACACACTGCTGAGGAGGTCGGTCTTGCTGGAGTAGGCTTTCAAGGGCAGGCCATCAGCAACACCTCGCACGTGTCACCACTCATGCGGTGCGTGGCACTTTGCACTGCGCTGCATAGGCTGTGCGTTACAAGCGCACCGCATGCGGGCGTACGACCTGGCTCGGCCGGCCTGGCTCGCTAACGATTAGTTTCCTAAGAAGCACGGCCGAGCACCGTTATGGTGTGAAGTGAAGTTATGCCGGGCAGCTGGGGGTTTGGGACGTGGTTAAAGAGGCCTTCAGGGACAGGTGGACGATGGTGGCTGGAAGGCCCTTTTGCTGATGAGGCCAGAATGGGATGACAGCAAACGTAATCCTTGCGGGGATTGAAAGTTGATTGCAGAACGTAGGAGCTTGTGGTCGTCAGTCGGTATACTTCCGGTCGCTGGCCAAGGGCTGCACGGGTCTCAAAGAGTTAAATCAGACATCCATAGGTAGGGGTAACCTTGGACTTTCTGGGCTGCTTGTCTAAACCCTTGCCGCGAAATGTGTAACCCTACATGCCGGTTCTAGGACTGGTACACCGGCATATATGCTGAATCCCTCAGCCGCATATAAATTTAGCTTCTGCTCCGGTCGGATACTGTCCTTGGGTAGCTATTGCTATGCCGCTGACCTTCTTGAGAGAAGGTACGGCACCGTCTATCAGAAAGCAGCGAGTCGCTTCATTTGCCTCGTTTCATGTGAAGGGATGCGTTACAAGGGCAAGCGTTATGGATACCTGCAGCAAGCATACAACCATATTATGGAGCTTTGTTCTTTTAGAGTTTCGATTCTTATTTTCAGGTGTTGAAGTTTCCAGCACTCTACCTTGGAGCCGTTGCATACAAGGCTCGGATTGTTCTCCTCTACGCCGACCTAGTACCCGTTCATGTGCAGCTGCCAGGTTGGGGCCACAGGTATTCCAGAATTAAGATATGGATTGCTAGCCATTTCTAGCCATTAGGCACTCGTCGTTCATTTCTTTATTCTATAGTTTCAATGGAGACTGCGCAGCCCACTAAACTGGACGGCCAGCAGCAGCTCGCAGCCCAGCTGCGGCCTGAGGACAGTCTCTTCTTTTGCACGTCGTTTTCAAACCATGGCATACAAACAAAGTTAGTGCCCTGGTCAGAAGTTCAATGGAAGATTGAGGTCGGTGCGAAGCTCGCGGCCATTTTGGAGAAGCTGCGGGAACGCTTCTCCAAATCACAAAACGTGTGCCTCTGCCAGGTGCGTTGAAGCTCGGCAACATTTCTCTAGTTGCCAGTACTGAATGCTTAGGAATGTGGCCATGTTTCCGAGCTGACCATGGTGTGATGGCTCTGGCGTTTTGGTGCGAAGTCGAATGCGCTTTGTGATGCCAACCCGGGGCTTGAATTCGTTCAGTTTAGCCTTCAGCTTGTAAATAGGGAAGCTTTCCTTGGCTGTTGCTTACAGGCCTGGGTTGGCGCTGACGGTTGCGAGGCGGCGCCTCCAAATAACTTAGAAGTTACGGTAAGCGTTTTAAAAAAAGCGGTTTCCACATAGGCGCAGACGATTTATCTCTCGCCGCCACCCGTCACCTGGTTCCATCTTGGTTCCTATTGCCCTTCCAAACGATGTCAGCTTACAAGTGAAGCACTATTGTTGTGCGACTTAAAACTGTGTCCTCCTCTTTTGGCATGCAGCTTTGGGCCGACCCACGGCTGGCAATCGTGTTGGACCCCCTTCTCCAGGACCTACGAATGAAAAGGTCTGGGGGTTTAGCAGGGCTTGGGGAGCTCTATGTCACCTAAGGTGCACGTCCTGCCAGGGTTCAGAGATATGCCCGTGTATCCTCCCGCCCATTTCAGCCCCGCCCGTGCGTGTTGCCCGTGCGCGTGCATTGTGTTGCCGCTACAGCTGCCAAGGTCCCGTCTACTTCCGGAACTCCATGCCGGGAAAGGTGTGGCGCTCCGGCGCTGTGCAGATTGTCCAGAACCTTCGAATCCTGCCGCTGTCCTTGCATCCACGGAGTCAGCTGTCGGGTAAGCAAGATGGCGGGCTCCTGGCGCTGCTGCATGGAGGACAGAGTGCGGCACTCTGCCCCCCATGTATACTCACGGCCCGGTCCGAAGCCACTACCCTTGCAGCTCTAGGCTTTATAGGATTGCTTCGAGCCACTGGAGCCGCTTTTAACTACCTTTGTTCTTTTGCACGGGACCCCCATTCATATCGGGCGTCTCCCTCTTCTCCCATCACACAGTTTCAAACTGTGGATGCCGGCAGTTCTTTTCGTGTATTCTGGTATACGATTCCCCACCTTTCCTTCTCCCCCGTCACACAGATGCGGCGCTGGCGCGACTTGCCGAGGCGTTATACATCCCCATATACGACATGTCCCACCCTAACCGGGGCCAGATCTGCGTGCTGGAGGTGCTGCTCTCCCACCGTACCACGGAAGCCATGCTGGTAGCTGACGTCATCAGCTTCATTGGCAGCATGCTCACGGCGCTGCACCTGTCGCTGGCAAATCCCGTTCAGCAGCCGGTGCGAAGGAGCGTGTTGTCCGGCCGCCGGCCACGTGCGCCGGACAGTGAGGATGAGGCGGCAGCTGGGGACGAGGGCGCAGGGCCGTCGGGGCGGCCGCACGAGCCGCAGCGGCTGCAACACGATCAGCAGCAGGCGGCGGAGGCGGGGGCCGGGAACCCCCAAGGGCGGCATGCGCAGGAGGCGGGGTCGCGAGATCCTAGGGAGTCGTATCCAGGGCAAAGTCCGAGAGGAAAAGAAGCAGCAAGCGTGCATGTGGCCGCTGCGGCAACGGGCCCGATGCCCAACGGGGCCACGGGAGTAAGTGCCGGACCTAGCTGTGACTCCACAGCCGTCACGGGTGGCGGGGGTGGAGCTGGTGGCACATCCGTCGCCAACAGCAGTCACGACAGGGGCGAAGCGCGCGCGGATCCCGGGGTCCCGGCTTCCGCAGCCACTGAAGTAGCTACCGCAGCAGCAGCGGAAGCCGCGGCCGGGGGTGGGGAAGGAGCGGAAGCAGCAGCAGCAGCTGTGGTAGCTGCTACAGCAGCAGCTGCAGCAGCAGCAGCAGCGGCAGCGTTAGAAAGGGTGGCGGCTTCGCCAGCGGCAGCTGCGCCGCCACCGCCTGCAGTGATGCGGTGCATCCGTGGGAGCCGGGGAGGTGCGACTCCTTCCTGCTCTGAACAGCCGGCGCTGCCTGCACATCCAGGCCACGGGTGTCTAGCTCGCGTGGATGGCGGCGTAACGAACGCAGCGGCATCTGGCGCTGCCGTTGGGCCAAGTGCTGTGTGTGGTGGGGGTGGGGTCCCTGGTGTCAGTGGTGTTGGCGGCGGGGGCGGTAGTTCCTGTCCGGGAAGCCGCGCGCTGGTTCCGCGAAAGGTGCGAAAGGTGCTTCACGGACCCATGCAGAGGACTAAAAGTGTGGCGTCCGTCGCGGCGCTGTCCCAGGGCGCTGCGGATGATAGCGAGGACGAGTCGGGTGGAGGCCGAGGCAGCGGTAGCGGGCTTGCCGGTGGGGGTGGACAGCTGGGCGGCCTACCGGCAACTTAGGGTAACCAGGTCTGTGGAAGACCAGGAAGTCTAGAGCAGATGTGAGCAGAGGAGAGCAGAGCGGCAGCCAGATGGCTGCTTTGGAGTTGGTATGCTGGTGAGGTATTGGTAGGTAGGAAGGTAGGGCCTTGCGCGGGCGGCGGCGGTGTAGTAATGTCAGCGGGCTGAGACGCATCCACAAATTGAGGAGTTGGTCTCTTACCGCCGAAGTACAAAGAGCTGTCCGTGTCAGGGCACACGTTTGGAGGAGTGGAGGCAAGGTTGGGCGTCTGGTGCTGTGCGTGGTGTTTTACGGAGCCGGTGCGAGATGTAGAAACTGGAGAGGGGGGAAGGTGCGGGGGAGATGCAAAGCAGGAAATACCTGACAGGTTGGCACGAGGCCTGTTGTCTAGGTGGTGCTTGTTATGCACTGTAGCGCGTATTGTTGTATGTTTCCAACGGAGGTTGTTGGACGCTGTCTCTCATTGGTTTGCTTCTGGATAGCGGCGCAATTGCGTCTGAAGACGATAAAGCGTGTGTTCTTTTTTTAAACCCGGTCGGCCAATTGGCCGCCCGCAGCTTTGGCCGGTCTGGAGGAGGAAAAATGTGTGCGTCAGGTGCGATGCCAAGCCTTATGGATATGCAAAGTGCGAAGTGCTATATGCGTATTATGCTTTTGCTGTTTTTTTAAGAGTTATTGCGTTTAAAAGAGCGATGAATGTGTCGGGCTGCCATACCTGGCCTGCGCTTCTTACTTGGTGATAAAAGTTCTCATGCTACCTCTGCTGCCTCTCGCTTGCTTGCATAGGAGAGGGAGGGGTCGGAAGCAGTTCACCAGGCAGCCCATAGCGTTGCCACCAGGAACTTCGTCTGTCTGGTATATAGGGTGCTTCCAGCTGCTGCTGCTACTACTACCACTACTACGGCGTGGTTCCTGGTTTCTAGGACGAAGTACCTGGTTAGCCTCCATATCTGAGCGGTCGGAGTGGTTTTTGTACGCATGGTCGAGCAAATAAATAGATTGCACATATATTAGATTGCGCACCTCGTCTTGTGTATTAAGAACCTCGCCTTGTTGTCTTATTGGTGACCTACACGCACATGTCCTCCTGCACACGTGCCGACCATCTCCATGCGCACATTACTACACATTTACTACACAGTATACAACGACCTGGTGTTGTTGCGTGCACACTCGCACAGGTTCAGTTCACGTAACACACACACACGTATTCTCACATCCTATGTGAAAAAGCGATCTGTGGCTCATGGCTTGGGAGCTTCAAATGAAGCCGGCTGGGCAACAGGCGAGATGGGTTTCTGTTTGCTGTGGGCTCGGAGCTGTCCAAAATGCACACCCGGGGAAAAGGCCAGGAGCCATCGTCCCAGAGTTTTAGAGAGTCATGCCACCAGGAGGTACAGAGGAAGGGATGCGATGGAAGCGGGGGTTTGAGCGGAGCGCCGCTATGCCACTAGTGCGGCTGTAGAGTGTAGCAGCAGCAGCGACGAAAATCGCGCGATTGATGGCGATTGTGGCGGTGTGGTTTTGGGCGCGTCTGCGGGCGGCAGTCTGAGCGACGTGCAGACGCGGGCAGAACACGCGGGTGTCTCTCGGGTCAGAGCTAGAAGAGAGAGAATGAGCGCGAGCACGCTGTCGCCACACCTTCTTACCTTTTCATGGGGGACCGGGGCAATCCGGCACTTGCACATCGCTTTGACGACATTGAAGGCAGGTCCAGGCTGGCATGCCGTTTTTTTCCTGGAGTCGTGTGTGTGCGCGTGTGTGGTAGTGGCGAATGGAATGAGCGGTAGATTGTGGTGTGGTGTTTGCGGTTGTGGTTCGTCGAGTAGGGTACGGTGTATTGTAGGGTGGGGGGACATACGGGCGGGAGTGCTGCATTGGTGAGTATTGGTGTAACTCAGCACGTGCGTTCGTATGTATGTGGATTTTGTCGTCAGTCTTGGTGGCCTCCACCTTTTGGGGAGCAGTACGCCATCCGTTGGCGCCGTTATGGCTCCTCTGTCATCGTTGGGGTCAACTGCTGTTGGCGGCGTGCTACTAACAGTTTTTGGCAGGTGCTGCACAGAATCTGCCTCTTAAGCTTGCTGCGATGGTGTTAGCAGTTGTCTGGCTGCCGCTATGCAGTTCGACGACTGCACCGTGCAGGTGGAAGTAGAGGGAGTCGCCAGTCGATCGGTGCACGAGCAGCTGGGGGCGGTGGGTGGAGAGTGAGGTGGGTGGAGAGTGAGGTGGCCTGCAGGAAGGTGTAGTTGTAAAGTTGCAACAGGAATGCAAGCTTCGTAGAAAGAGAGAGATGCAGTCGTGTTTAGGGATGTGCGCTGGCGGCTATAGGTTGCTCGTGGAAAGCCAACAGTGTGAGGCTGTTGTGGAAGTTGAAAGAAGACCAGTGAGAGAAGGCTGAAGGGAACCCGAGCGAGTTGTAATCGCCGTTTTGGGGTTTCAGTTACGGGGTGAACCCGGTAGCTTGAGGTTACGCACCCATTGGGTAGATGCTGTGGGATGGAAGTAATCCAGATAAGCAGCTTTGCTTTATAAATATGAGCTCATCAACGAAGCTCACCATCTCTGTTAATCAATAAAGCAGCCTCTGTTTCTTGTGTTTTGTCGCTGGAAGTTACACCGGCTGGGCTCTCGTGGCGAGCGGTTACAACCCAAAAGCCATGACGCAGCAGTTTCATCTAAACGTCAATCATACGTCACCTTTTAAGTAGCATACTCTAGCCACTGTTGTGAAGGACTGCCGGACACCACCGCGACAACACCGATATACCGTAACTATCTGTGCGTTCGCGGACGAACCTCACCACGAGGTGCGAGCACGCAGCTCCAAAGTTGGAACCCTTACCTATGCTCAACCCAGTTATTTGCCGGTACATAGAAATATGTGCGACAGTAACGCAATTACGCATGAATTGATGAGGTTGACGAACTGCTGGAATGAACACCTGATTGGTGCTATCCGCCTCAGAAAGCTCTTTAATATATAGCTTGGACAGGGCTTGATACGGCTCCGCACGGTTGAAGAACGCTGCTGAGGTACGGCAAGCGTTGGAAAGAATTTGCGGACTCTCTCGCCTTGTGGGCAAAGCTTTCCTTGCTGAAACCTTCCAATCACATGCCTACTTCATTTAATAATGAAACCTTTGAGTCGACAACCTTTCGCAGACGCGTCGGAGAGCCTAGAAGCTGATTATGCTGCTATGCATAAAGGCAAGCCAAGCTGCTGATTGAGCTTTCATTTAGGTGAGGAATATGTGCAATGCATTTGCCTGGCAGCATCGCAGAGGGTTTGCAGACAGACGGGCAACGTCACGAAGTGCTCTGGTTTTCACTGGCAGCTTTTAGACGATTTGTCATGTATCTTTCTTAAGTTATCATGTACATTCCCTTCCTGTGGCTTGCCAGCTGGCTGGGCCGCGACCACCGTACCCTGACGCCTTTTGTTTTCTCGGGCGTGCCGTATTGGCCTTCTGCCCGTTCCTTGTGACCATGCAGATCCTATGCTGCGTCGCGGCATGTCGATGGCCGCAGAAGGGCGGAGCGAACTCTTCACTTTAAGAAACTAGGGAGGTCTTATCAGTCGAAGCGGCGATTCCCAGCAGCATACCTGGTTAGCTTGTATATTTAAACGTTAAGCCAACATAGCTAGCCTGAGAGCACCATCCAGCGGCGAAGCCGAACGGGAGAGCAGGCGCACCTGAGTCGCTGTCAGAGCCGGGAGCCATTTACGAGCAGGAAATATAACAGCAGAAGCGCCGGCTAGTAGAATTGTAGTCGCAATCGCCGCAGCGGCCTCCTCGCGCGTTGCGGCAGCTGCAACCAGTAACGTGCAGCACAGCACGGGCAGCGCTGCCTTTGTCTCTCGACGCCGCGGAGACAGTCGCCGCCTCGAGACCTTCCGGCTCGCCTTCACGCTCCCCCACACGACCAGTCAGGCGGCAACTCCTCAGCCTCCTCTGCTTCTCCGGCACAGCTCCACACGGAAGAACACGTTCTGGGCTGCCCGTTAACCACGCGGGGCTACTAAAACTCCAAGTGCTCTCCTCGCCAACCCCTCAATCACCATCACCACCGCCCACCTCCACCGCCGCCACCACCGCCCCCCAGCACCGCCTCAAGCCTACAGGCCCCATTTGGGTTTGCGCATCATTTCTCCCAATTAATAACCCACGCCACCAACACCAACACCAACACCACCATGCACAAGTACCGTTTGGTCGCCAAGAAGGGTGAGGGCACCTTCTCCGAAGTGCTCAAGGCGCAATGCATCAAGAACGGCAAGTACGTGGCCATCAAGTGCATGAAAAACCACTTTGACAGTCTGGATCAAGTCAATAACCTGCGAGAAATCCAGGCGCTCCGCCGTCTGTCGCCCCACGCCAACATCATCAAACTGTTGGAAGTGCTGTACGACCAGCCCACGGGCCGACTTGCCCTCGTTTTCGAGCTCATGGACATGAACATCTACGAGCTCATTCGCGGTCGGCGGCATTACGTTGCGGAGGACCGCATCAAAAACTACATGTACCAGCTGATGAAAGCCATGGACCATATGCACCGAAACGGAATATTCCATCGCGATATCAAGCCAGAGAATATTCTCATTATGGACGATTGCCTAAAGCTAGCGGATTTTGGATCCTGTCGCGGAATTTATTCCAAACAGCCGTACACGGAATACATTTCCACCCGCTGGTATCGCGCGCCGGAGTGCTTACTTACAGACGGGTACTACAATTACAAGATGGACATGTGGGGCGTGGGCTGTGTGTTTTTCGAAATCGTGTCGCTGTTTCCTCTCTTCCCAGGGACCAACGAACTCGATCAGATTACCAAGATCCACAACATTCTGGGCACTCCCCCCCCGGAGCTACTCGCCAAAATGAAAAAGCGCTCCCAGCACATGGACTTCAATTTCCCGCCCAAGGAGGGAACGGGTGTGGCCAAACTTATACCCCACGTCAACCCCGAGTGCGTGGATCTGATCGTCAAGTTGTTGTCGTACAATCCGGACGAGCGGCTGTCGGCGCGGCAGGCGCTGCGGCACCCGTACTTTCGGGACCTGCGTGAAGCGGAGAAGCGGCAGAAGGCTCTCATGGCGCCGGACGTGTCGGGGCATTTGACGGCAATGGAGGCGGATAAGGTCCGGCAGCAGGTGGGTGGGTGCGTGCGTGCGTGCATGCTAGGGGGTCGATATACATAGCGCTGTGTATATGTATGTATGTATGTATGTATGTATGTATGTATGACTTAGATTACACTGTGGGCCGCGAGAGCCGGGGGCTGAAGCCGAAACACAGCACAAGGGTCGGGAGCACACAGCACAAGTATGTATGTATATATATGTGTGGCTGTGTGCCCGGGGAGAAGAGAGGTCCCCTGGGAAAGCGGGGATCGGAGGGTGAGGAGAGGACGAAGAGGGAAGAGGAAGGTGAGGAAGGGAAGGCGGGAGAAGCGATTGCAAATCATGCATACATCCATATCGCCATATGTACGGGAGATAGCAAACTGGAAGAGCGACCTCCAGAAGCGAGACAGCCTGCGTGCCAGCTGCAGGACGACAGCAGGGTCGACACGAGAAGCGCAGACGCGCAAGATAAGAGGTTTCTTTTTTTGGGGGGGGGTATGCGAAAACACGCGTCCACACACACACACACACTCAGTTTCCCCCCTATCGTCCACCTCCCCCAATCAACCCCCTCGGTCCGTTCCCCTGGAGCAGCAAACTGTGTCTTCCAACGGCAGCGAGCACGAGACGGCACACGCCCCCGCCACACCCCCTGGAGCTGACCCCCCCAACGAGGGCTCCGCGGGATTGCCCAGCATCTCAGTACGGTCACATCAACAGCAGGTGGGTCGGGAGTCTCTTTCCAGGGGTGTTAGTGCCTAGGAGATGATTCGAGCGAGCTTGCGTGTGTCTGGGGCTTTTGGAAGGGGGGAGGGAGAAGGGGAGCAGTGTGGGATTGAGTGCTTGAAGGAACCTCGCCGCCGCCGCTGCTTCCAACCAGCCAGGACAACATGCATACGTACATACGTGTATACGTATACTCTCTGGGGTATCTGACCGGTGTGTACATGTTGGTTGGGGGTACTCGGTTGGAGGGTTTGCACCTCCGACAAGCTCTCCCCCACCCTTCACCGCCTCACTTGGACGTGTCGGCAATTGACCCTTCTGCTCCTTGCACCACCACCACCACCATCATCACCACCATCATCATCATGACCATCATCATGACCATCATATGATTTCCCGACTTACATGGTTTGCCTGCATCTTGCATGCGATCATCTGCCATCCGCTTTTTCCTTATACGAATGCGTATATGGCCTTTGCATATGTCTACAGCAACCCCAGGATCCGGCACACAAGGAGGACAGCAGCGAGGGTGCGGCTGACACAGGGAGTGGCGCCACCTACCCCAAGTTGCCGGGGTTGGCAGCACAGAGCAGCACGGCCTCCGTTGAGGGCATTCCTGAGGACGCCTCTCTGCCACCCATAGCCAACCTGAGTTTGTCCAAGGCCAACATGACGGGGTCCACAGTTGCTGGCGTCGTGGCGCACACGTCCACACGCAGGTCGACGATGAACAACTTCTACGACGGCAACGGCAGCGGCGGGCCGGCGAGCTATAAAGCCAAGGCCGGCGCTGCCGCAGCTGCCGGCGGCGGCGCAGCTGCCGCCGCAGCCGGGGTGGCGCCTGGCGGCGCCGCAGGCGCCGCCGCTGCCGCGGCGGCAACTGGCGCCGTTGCTGGAAGTGGCGCCGCCGGGCCGCCACCGGCAAACGCTGGCGCCGTGGGGCGACGGCAGTCCGTGGGCGTGGTGGCGGCCAAGTACGGTGCCGTGAATAAACAAACATCTCAAGGGCACGGGCAGGCGACGGGTGTGGCGGGAGTGACGGGGCCGGCGATGGGGGTGACAGCGACCCGCACGGAGCCTCAGGGCGGCACCGTGAAGTACAATAAGGCGAATGTGGGTAAGACCAACTCCAAGTATATCAGCCCCTACTCGCTGAGACAGCTGGCCGGGCAAAATGCTGCCGGCCAGGCGTAACGGCCGCCACACTGCCTTTCCCCCCGCTGCTGCTGCTCGTCACCACACGGTTGTTGTAAACCCCATTCATTAGTCGCAGCCATGCAAACCTCCCACAGCTCCCCAGGGACGGGTGGGAGTGGAGGCGGGCGAAACCCTTTGGGTGCAGTTCCTTGGGTTTCCGGGTACACGGCAGGGCCGGGGGTTGGAGAGCTGCAGGGGGGAGCTGCAGGGTAGGGTTAAGAAGTAGCAGAGCGGAGCGGCCTTTTCTGCTCCTCTGTTGTGGTGGAATCGACCGACTCTTGTATCCTAATACGACCTGAGGTTACAGCGAGAATGGAATGGAAGTTGCCGCGGCAGTGAAAGCGGTGGAGTTGGGGGGAAAAGAGGGCTTCGAACCGATCGGCGACAGTGAGCAATCTGACCATCGTGTTATGTAAGGGGGGAAGGGGACCATTCATGGGTTATATATACATGTTGCGGCAGAGCCCTTGGGGTGGGTGGGCTGCCTTAGCCTGGCGTTGTACTGGCACGCCCCTGCTTACTGGGGGTTCTGGGAGTATGTTGACGTCGCTGTGCTGTTGACGTCCGGTAGGCAATAAGGTGCTCAGAGGTGGGGGCCCCGTGAGGAAGGTGCGTAGTCGAGAGCAAGGAAGGACGCGGTGCCGCCTTGTGTGGTGTGGCCGCTAGGTGGTGGGTTGTCTTTCCGTCTCGCCCTCGTTTCGCCACCTACCTCTTTTGTATAGCTCCACAATTCGTTCCCTCCCGCCCTGCGATCAGGTGTACAGGGGAAAGGGGTGCATGCGTACGTACGTACGTACGTATGTACGTAGGTGTGTGTGTAAGGGCGTGTGGCATATGCCCGCGTATGCGGGTGCGAGGTGATCATCACAGAGCTCCCTTACGACCCCGTCTGGCAGCCGCATGCCGTTGCGTGCGGATGTGTTTGTGTGTGGAAGGGGTTTATGAGCGCACCCCGATAGCTGTGTACATTTACGGCTGCTGGACGCAGTGTGACCGAATGCATCAAATTGGTGAAACCTTGTGAACCATTGTTGACCTGTTGTTGCCGCGAGGCAATATGGACTTGTCCCAGGCAGAGTCAAAAGCAGAAGCAGCCCGGCGGTGGATTGGGGCCATCAGTGGGTTTGGGGCTCTAAGGCTGGTGGTTTCCTGACCAGGGGTGGGGGGATGCGCTGTTAGGTGGATGGGTGTGTGGGAGGGGGCTTTGCGGCAAAGGGAAGAGGGGGAAAAAGGCCGTGGGCCGGCAGGTGGGAGGGGGCCTCATATCCTTGGGACGTATCCCCGCAAACGCATACGAGAGATGGAATGCGCCCGAATGCATGAGGTCACATTTTTGCCAGGAATGAAAGGGGTAGGTGGCAGTGGCGTTACTGGCCATGGCCTGTGATGATGCTGACGGCCATGGCAATGGCAGTGTTTCGTGCGCCTTTTGCTACAGCCAACACGACACCACACAACACCACGACCGCGTCCGGTCACTCTAGAGGCCTTGGTGTGATCCCCTCTCGCGAGGTGCATGACAGTGCAGAGTCGGTTGTCCGTTGGTATTAGGATGAATGTGCCGTGCACATGTGCGCTGTATCATGAGCTGCCAACGTCCGCTCCCTAGCAGGAGGAAGCGGAGAAGGAAACTATTTATGTTACATGCGTGTATGTGTGTATGTGTGCATGTATGTGCTGGTGCGTTTGCATAGTGAGGAGGGAGTGGTGATGTTCAGTACAGGAGGAGCACAACGCAGCACGATACAGACGGTACAGAACAGCACGACTTTCAAGGACGGCTGCTCAGCCAGCATGTCAAACTGCGAACAGAGGCACAATAATAAAAAAATAATAGCAAATAAAATAAAGGGATGCTCCCTATCTCATGTTTTCACTATTTCCGTTGATATTGCGGCGGTGGCCACATTCATGGTTTATGTTTCTGTCCTGGGGCATGAAGGCATGGGCAAGGGGTTCTTGTTCCCTGGCGCTCCCGGTATTTGATCAGCTGTGGCTGGCTGGTGTCCATTCTGCCGTGGCGGACTTTGCGCCATGAGGGTGTTGCCGCCACGAGATTGCGCACGGGTTGCAAAGGAGCTCGTGGCGGAGGAGCGCAGTGGTTAGTGCACGTAGACACGAATGTCTATTTCGTGCATGTGGGCTTTTGGAGCCAGGCTTAATGCTTAAAAGCGCTTCATTGTCGTGCGGGAGGCTAGCAGGAGGTTGTGACTAACACGCGCAGGAGGAAGAGGGGAGACTCCTGCGGAGCCTCTGAAAGAGGGAAGACGCGCAGAGCGGCCGCAGAGGGGCTGTGTGGACCTGTGTGGCTTTACCTTCTTAGCTTGTTGTCTGTTTTGCAGTTGCGAACATGTGGGCGCGCACGCGGCTCTGTGTCTGCCACACAGGGCATATACGGCATATGCGAGTGTTGGGTGAGGAGCTCGTTCCAGACCAGCGGAGATGAGGATTGTGTTGAACCTCAAAGGGCGCACTGCAGGATGCCGATTTAACGCGGGTTGTCTGGTGCGGATTGCGGGTGATGTGGAAACCGTTGAAGAACAGCCAGACCCGAGACGTCCAGAAGACATGCCGACTTAGCATAGCGGAAGGGCGAGCATTTGCTTTAACGGCGAAGAGGAAAATACGGTAACTGCTTTGGGGCAGTGGGCGGTTTGGGGGGGGGGGGCGGGGTACTGCATGCATCACAGGTTTTCAGCTAGGGAAGTTGCAACCTGATACGTTGCGCTTCGGACGAAGTCAGTGGCTGCGGCTACGTCGCTGGTGTTTACCTGCGGCGTAGTAGCCGCAGCCACCGACTTCGCAGCCGGCGGAGGTTTTGAAAGTTTAGGTGGCGTCGACATCCCTAGCTGATCTGATGGCCTGGGGTCCGGCTTATGAGGCGTGAAGGTGCAGTACATAGATGAGCTGGGCTAATTACCCGATAGTCAAATGAATTGGCGACAGCTAACTTTTGACCGTGTGTTTGGAGTTGCCTTGCATTACGGGGCCGCCGGTTTTGGTGGGGTATTGACGGTCACTAACGTGCGGCACAGCTACCGTGCTAGCTGCAACTGTAAGGAATGACGTCGCAAAAAATGCGTACTTTGTAGGTTGAGCTGTAAATTCTTGCATTTGCATAACCCATGGTCCACTGTAACCTTTGTGGATCACAACTGTTGATTTCATCCCATCCTTCAAAGGGACCACAATCGCGAAACCGCATGCAGACGTGCCCGCTCAGACGTGTAATCCCATACATGCACAGCATCCCTTTTAGCAGTGCACCGCACGCACTTGAGCACGAGTCGGAGATTAGCTCATGGGTACAGTGCTGAAGGCCCCGTTTCGCACTTCGGTGTTAGGTTAGCCATAATAAGCGAGAGGAACAGCGGTGTTGTGAACAGAGATATGGTCCGAAGTTTTCATACAGGCATCCTATCCAGTGCTTCACGGCATATAGAATCCCTTCATAAACAAGTAGTGGCAGGGGAAAAACTGCACCATGCCGCCTGCAAATCCCAGAGCCACGTCGATGCGTGGTTGCCTTACGGCCATACGGCAGATGCCTTCTGACCGACGACTTCCAAGATGCGCGGGCACATATCTCTCTCTCTTCTGACCTAATGCTGGCCGTTCCAAAGCTCCCAGCACCGAGGCGGCGACCCACAGGGTCTACGTCGGCTCAAGCAGAGCGAATGCACAGGCTGAGACAGGCGTTATCCCATGCTGCCCGCCCCCCAGCTTTCACACCCATTGCAAACAGTCATACCATTGCACATGAATAGGTACGGTCCCGTTCGAAGGCCTGCGCCTGCGGCCATGCGAGTCCGGTCCCACTGTGCTTGGTACCCAGCTGCCGTTGCCAAGTACGCCCTAGCCCGCCCGCACGGCGCCGAAGCTTTGCGGGCCGAGGGTTCTGCCAAGATTGTTTCGTAGACGAAAAAGCAAATCGTACGCTTGGAAAATTGTCTGGTTCTTGAGTCCGTATTAACAGCTGAGCAATCAGCACCAGCAGTCGTAACACTTGTCGCCCTCCTCTGAGCCAGAGCCCTAGAAAACGAAGCACTCCAGGGACCCGGCCCGACTCTCCATATGCATGAACGGCTCAGGACGTGCAAAAACCCCTTTTCGCACAAGTGGCGGTAGCTTGGGAACAACCGCGCCGGGGCTGCTCCTGCAAACCAACCAACCACCAACCACTTAACGACTTACTAACCAACCAACCAGACCGGCCTATACATTGCCACTTCCAGCACAGCACGCCCCGCTCTGCCTGAATACCCAGCTACACGCCGTGCCTCTGGAAGCAACAATCGCCCGCGCCTCACAAACAGTCTTAACCATCACGTTCACCCTCCACCACTGCCATGCCTACTCAAGCCCTACCCGCTCCTCCCACACACCCTTCGCCCGGGCAGCATCCAAAAGAATATTATAATTTCCCAATAACCCACATCCATTGCAAAACAACTTCACCAGCCCCTTGGCCCCATAAGCAGCAAATCAAGGGGCCCAGCTAGCTAGTCCACCACGCGAAGCCAAGAGAGACCAACGCACTTGCATGAGGCGGCTGGACGACCCCGCCCCGTTATGAGCCTCAGCCAGAACAGGAGGACATCCACATACGTACACACATACATACGAACAAGAATACATACATTCAAGTACTCCTGGGCCCGGGGTGAAGGGGGCCCTCTCTTAAGGACCCGTCTTAACGCTCCGGAAGTGTTGTCCAACGAATACCCCTCGCCATTGCAACGACTACCAAGCCACCACATCCATAACGAGCCGGAACCTGGCGGGGGTGAAGCGAGGGTGAGATGCTTAGCTCGCCCCTCCCGGACGGGGAGGGCGACTCATCACCAAGCACATTGGAGCAGTATCCGAGCACAACGGGCGGCGCGACAACCACCATAACCACCTGCAGCTGCAGCTACTTTAGGAACCCCCGGGAACTAACGGCTCCCGGCGCTAACGGCGACACTCAAATCACCACCGCGTCCGGGCGGCCTCGGCCTAAGCACCAGCCCTCAAATGACCGTGTGCCTCCTGCAGGCTAATCGCACCACAATGTGGCCCGTCTGGCAAAAGCTGAGCTGAGCTGATATGGCCAGGACCATTCCCATCGCAGCCACACACAACCACATCCTTCAGTCCCTTCAGCTCCTATCAAAGACGCACAAATCACCACTACCACCATCACCGTGCATCTGGGCGATCCTTTCCCGCCGCCGCTCGCCCGCCATCGGCAATCCGTTCCACGTTCTTGTACCTCCCCTCCCCTTCCTTCTCCTCCTACTCTGCCGACCCTAATCCTCCGCTGCCCTGGCTGCCAAAAGGTTGTCTCCAACCATCCGACAGCCTGCTCCGCAGCCATGCGACCAGTCCGCCCACGCACGCCACCGGCCGCACAACCAAGTGTGCGCCCTCGTCGTCCTCCTCACCCTCACCCTCACCAACCTGCCCTCCCCAGCAGGTGCCCCTCCAGGCGCTAAGTCCACCGGAGCAACATCCCGCCCACCTGGGGGGAGAGCAGCACCCCAGGCACTTCAGGCACCATCAGACCACAACCGCCACCAAGAAATCCTACCGGCTGTGCCGCAGTCCCCGCAGACTTCCCAGTTCTAATAAGGCGGGGAGGACGGAGAAGCCAAAACAGCCCATCGACTGTCCCGCGGAACCACCACCACCACCACCACCACCACCACCTGTAGAACCGGCAGAACGGCCGTCCTGAGAGAGCCAGCAGCCTTTCAACTAGGTATGCAGCCGTCTTAGTAGCCGCCATGCATCCCCCCCAGCCATCCCACCAGCCATCCCACCCCAGCTGACCAGGTTCCCGGCTTTTTAGACTGGACAGGAGAGAGCGGGGGCGAGCCAGGCCGTCCCAGCACGTACTCGTGTACCAGGCCATACCATGTAACCCCCAACCCGCCACTCCGCAAGACCGAGAAACCATCCCGCATTCCAACCAGGCAGACCGCCAGCCCGCCGCATAGCGTGGCAACCAGACAGGCCGGCAGGCAAAGGCCATCCCCCATTATGTTCCCCCGCACACACTTATACAATGAGCGTCTCCAGCTCATCATTGATCTCCTGCTCCATCTTCTTAATGACCGCAATGGCCTGACGTACGTCCGGTCGTATCACCATCAGCTCACACAGCCAGGTGGGCAGTCCGTCCGCCACGCAATTGCACTTGGCGCCGGGCTGCACCAGCGGCCTCGCGTACAGCACCCCCTCCTGGCCCTTATAGCGGTCCAGGAAGTCGACACTCTTGAGGTGGCCGGTCTTCTGAACTCCGCAAAACGTCATGTCATTCCGATTTTCACAGCCATCCCGCGCGCGGGAGAGAAGAGAAGAGAAGCGACGCAATATCAAGAGAGAATAGGGTGAACGCGCGCGCGGGGTGGTGGCAGGGATACGTGAGAAGTTGTAAGGTGGGTTAGGGATGGACGTGTACATATGGCACAGAACAAGGTGGACAGATGACACTTTACCCCCCCCCGTAAAGAGTCACGCAACTTGCCCCCTGCACTGGACAACCCAACCCCCCAGCCCATTCCCTTACCCTCCCCTCCTCCGACCTAGCTCATGGCCACCATAATCGGCGATAACCAACGACGATTCCGCCCTATTCCTTCACACTCCCAAACACCCCATCACACAGCAAAAAATATCTCCACCTGCGCGTTGATGGTGTACTCGGCCATCTGCTTGAGGGGCCTGCGCGCCACAGGCGGCCGTACGGGAATACCCGCACACGCCATGAGGTGCTCCTCCACGAGGTCCACCCCCCACACCAGCAAGTTGGTGTCCCTCACCGGGCCGCCCCCCATGCGGCAGTTGACCTCGATCAGTCGGGCGCCACGACTCGTGTATTTGCACTCCACGTGAAATACACCCAGCTTGAAGCCCAGGGACTGTTAGGAACGGGAGGTTCGTGCGGCAAGCGGAGGGATCAGGGATCGGGGGAAGAGGGAAAGACGAACCACGAGCGAGTGAAGCTGATGCCAAGAGGAGGGGAGAAGGGGGGGAAAACAAGTTGCGAAGGTCTCTTCGCGGGGTTGGGGATGACAGATTGGGATCGGGAGGGAAGCGGTCCGCGAGCTGCCACCGACTAGATGCTGGATGTGTGTGTATGTGTGTGTATAGTGGTGGGGGATAATACTCATGAATGCACAAGAGCAAGCAACGATTCAACTGCCGACTTCTAAGACACTGGAGGCGCGAGGTGAGGGCGGGAGTAGGAGGACCAGCAGCGAGAACGGGACAGGTTACGGGCGGCGAAAGCCCCCTTCCCCCAGGATTACCACTCATTACCCCCAACCCCCTGTTGCATCAAAGGAAAACCCTACTCCGACTCTACCCGACTCTTGACTGCCAGGATCCCCACCTGTACGGCCCGCACTGAGAGCTCCAGCAGCTCGATCTGATGTGCCTTGGGCAGCACTGACGGACAGTTAGATCCGGTTTCGTTGAAGTACGGCTCAACGGTTGGCCAGTTGTCGGTTATGGCGCCGTACACAGGCCGCCCGTTGTCGAAGATGAGATCGCAGTCAACTTCGTGGCCGTCCAGATACTGCGACGACGGAGAGCGGCGCGGTTAGTTGACGGTTGAGCTTATGGGTTTGGTTGCTGCGGAGCGCTGCTAGCGGAGGAGAACACACAAAGAAAAACACGCTGTGTGCTTGTTGGCTTGCAGTCTTCCCAAAGAGTTCTTCTCAACTCCAATCCCCGCGAAGCGAACGCAGCCACGGAATCGGAAGTATGAAAACGAACACGTGCCAGTGCCCCCGAAAGTGCGGGAGCACATGCAGTTAATCCACCCCGCCTACGTGAGGTGGCGCTGCTCTGATCGTTACTTATGTATCCTAATAGGGCACGATCAGTCCTGTATCTCAACGCCCTCTGGACGCGTTATCGGGATTGTTGTGAAAAAAGACGCCTCGTTGCGGATTCTTCCCTCCTAAAGCCTCGCCCCCCGAGCTCCCTCACTTCCATGAGGTGGGAGGTGCGGTTCCTCATGTCCCTCCTCGCCACCCCTTCCCGCCGGCCAGCTCCAGTCCCCCACCCTCATCCTGACAAAATTGAGAGCCAGCCAGCACTGCGAGACATTTTGGCGCGAGGATTCCCTTTCCTGTAGCCCTTACCCTTTCCCCCTCCCTCCCTCGCCTCTTCCTTCTTTCCTGGCATATGCTTTCCCCCCCGGCCCCGTCCTCACCTCCTCCACCATGAGCTCCAGGTGGATCCAGCCCCCCGCATTGCCAGCTGCGTCGCTGCCCTCGTCATCACCCTCCACCAGCGCACCCGCAACGATGCGAGCCCGGGACATGTCGTGCTGGACCCTGGGTGCGGGGTTTGGTGGTGGTGGCGATTTTGCAGGCAAAGACAGTGAAACAGGCTGAGAGCGCGGTTTGGAGAGAAGAGAAGTGCCGCCAAGAGGTTGTGGATATGAGATGGGTGGGCTCATGGCCGCAGGTAGCACAAAACAACGGCCGGGCACATCCCGCACCCCGCGCATGCACTTACTTCCTGAACGCCTTGAGCAGGTCTTCCTCGTTGTTGGCCCGGATGACGCCGATAGAAGCGGCGCCGCTGATGGGCTTGATGACGGCGGGGAAGCCCACGTGGGCGGCGGCCTTGGCCACATCCGCCTCCGAAACCACCTTGTAATGCTTGGGTGTGGGCAGGCCGGCGCGAGCCATAATCTCGCGGGTCGCGTGCTGCGGACGGCTCCAGGGGGGTTTGTTGGAGTGGAGGTGGGAACGTGTAATAATTATATGCAATAGCCAAAGACACAACTACATGCATGTATGCATGTATGTATGTAGAAGCGTAAAGGGTCACAACAGAAAACCCAAACCACCCAGGGAGATAGCCTCCTGCCTGCCGCCCTGCTTCGTCTGCTTATCCCGCCCTCTCCGCGTCGCCTCCACTCCCCCGGAATGCATCTCCATCCCCATCTCCCTTACCCCTCCGGCCCCCATCTTGCTCTTTATGGACTGCATGCTTCTGCCATTACCCTGCTGCTCCTGAGCCAAGTGTGTACAGCTGTTGAACGGCAGGGCCCCCCCCACATACACCTATCACGGCACGTCGCAGCACGGCACAACCGGCCCATGTCCACTCCGGCATATACTCCCCTGGGCCCAGTATTACACCCCAAGCGCGCGTGCACCCTCCCCTATACACACACCTCACCTTGTCACGCGCGTTGTCCACTGCTTCAGGGGTGTTACACGGCAGCCCCAGCTTCTCCGCAAGGCGACTCGCAAGCGGCACCGCCATTTCACAAAAGGTGGTAATGCCATCCAGCTCACCGATGGTGGAGCGGACGTCCTTAATAGCCTGGGCAACAGAGGGGAAAGACATTCACACACAACAGACGGGGAGAGATCTGAGAAACGAGACATGAGAAAAATGCGAGCACTGCGTGTACCGCATATATGCCAGGGTAATAGGAATGCACGGGGAGGGAAATGCACGGGGAGGCGCCTCAAGGTGTTGTGTAGACGCTCCTCCCCCAACACCCGCGGGCCTGAGCTCCTGAGCGGCCCTGAGCTCCAGAACCCCCTGGTCAGGTGATAGGCGATAGGGGGGCCCGCCCACCCTGCTCCTTGCGGCCTTGCGTTACCTGCAGACAGCGATCGAAGACGGTGTCCACATCCGTGAAATCGATGGGCACGAACTTCTCAATGATACCGTCCTTCTCCAGCAGGCGCACCCAGCTGCGAAGGAAGGGGGTTGACGGATTCGGGACAGGCGGAAAGGGGAGGATGTGACAGTAGAGCGGCAGACGCGAGAAAGGATTGGATAACGGACAGTGCAGGAAGGGGCAGGGCAGGAAAAGGGAAGGGCGCCGCGCAGGAAGTTAAGGACGCGCGGCTAAGTGGACAGACTGGTGTCGTAGGCAGCAACCCGAGGGGGCGAGGAGAAAGCAAAAAGATGGGATGGTGCATGATTGTGGGTGGGTAGGCTGGCATGTCCTGTAGGTGGGCTTCCACTCCTCCTGCAACCCGCTTCCGAACCGCCTGCCGCGCACCCATATTGACCACCATGCAAGACTGGAAAGACATTTCACCTGCATGAATTCAAATCCCTTATCCTCCCACATACACCAGACCTAAGGGCCGTTCACATCCAGTCTGCGGGGTCAGTTGTTCCGTTCCAAACCCACATCAACACCCTGGCCCCGCCCCTCTCTTTCATCCTCATCCATTCCACCCCTGAGCTCAGGATACGCACATAGGTCACTGAGCACCTCTTCCTTTCCGCTCCTCCTACAACTACCGAGCTCAACCCAACCCAGCCCTAGGGGCCGCCTCCCAGCTCGGCCCGGAGGACTCCCGTCTTCCGTCTCCCATTCAGTGTGCTGTCTGGAAGTCGCTTCTCAAGATGCAAGACGGAACAGACTAGCCACCAAATGCCTCACACGCCTTCGCCAGGTCCACAGCCGCGGAACAACGCTACACCCTCCCATACCCACCCCGCATTCCATTGCCCTGACTCATCCCTACGTAATCCCCAACCCCCCTCAAACCCTCCCCAACCCAGTTGGCACCCCATCTTCGTCCTGTCTCCAGTCCCCTTGGACTCTTGCCGGCATCACCTCGCGAAGCTTATCCCCCTGATCACCCGCCTCCCGCCCCACTGCCCCGTTCCCGGACCCCCGAAGTCCTCAAGTCCCGGCACTCTCAGACGACGGTCCGTCTACCTGTCTCTCCAGGCTCTCCTACTGGGCTACTGCTTACCTCAGCATCCTCAGCCAACGAACTATCGCACCCGACCCAAATCGTGCCGCCGGCAGACCTCGCCACCTACGTATCTGCGTATGGATGTATGTATACCTCCTTCCTTCCGGACTCCAGGACGTCCCTAGCTGGTCAGCTGATTCGCTTCCTAGTCCCCCTTACCCGCCCTGCCCAGTTGCGCACGGTGAAAGGCCAAAAGCAGCGGGAACACACGCATCCGGGCCCTGAACACACGCATCCGGGCCCTGAACACACGCATCCGGGCCCTGAACACACGCATCCGGGCCCTGAACACACGCATCCGGGCCCTGAACACACGCATCCGGGCCCTGAACACACGCATCCGGGCCCTGAACACACGCATCCGGGCCCTGAACACACGCATCCGGGCCCTGAACACACGCATCCGGGCCCTGAACACACGCATCCGGGCCCTGAACACACGCATCCGGGCCCTGAACACACGCATCCGGGCCCTTACCAAGAGCCGCACCAGGATAACACTTCCGCTTTGGAAGCCACGCAAGATACAGCCACCCGGAGCCACACCCTTCCCCATGTCCACAACTTTGCCCTGCCCAATCCTCAGGCTTCCACAGAAGCAACAGGCCATCCCGCATTGATCCGCTCTGCTAGGAATCTAAGCCGCTGGCTCACACGGGCTACGCCAATTCTCCGGGTACGGACCCGCCCTTATTGCGGAGGGCGGTCGTCTTCCTTTCCTTCCCAGCCGTCTTCCCAGCACCTCTCGACGCTGGAAATACATTCCCGTCCACGAGAACGCCTCTGCCGCCAATCCCCAATACCTCCTCTCTTCTCCACTCTCACATCTCAAGGTGCCTTGCCCCCCCCGTCCGATGTATCTTTAAAGCCCCCAAGCCAACCCATACCGCTGGTACCGCACCGTCAAAGGTCACCAGACCCAGTCTTACTTCAGGCCCTGTTTCCACAAAGCAATTCCTTCCCGGTTTCCAGCACCGATGAGAGGTCTGCTCCAATTCTAAGTTCCGTTCATCCCCCAACGAGGCTACCCAAGGCCCACGCCGCATGGCCACCATGGCCATCATCTCCCACAGGGCTCCCGGGGCACCCACCTGTCGGGTCCATCCAGCACCACCGTCCTGAGACCCAGCTCCTTAGCCTTCTCAAAGATGAAACGCTTCCCGCTATAGCCCGCCGTCACGAACACCATGACGGCGCCCTTGAGCACCTGGCGGCGCAGACTGCGGCCGTCCCTGGTGCGCGAGTTCACGGCATCCTGGTCATGATTAGGGGTTGAGCAGGGGAGAGACCGGTACAGGGATTCGGTCCGCAGGAAGTTCGAGTCAGGACCGGCCAGGAGATGGGGCCCTGCAATGGTATGTCCCGGGAAAAGAAAAACCCAGATCCCACCTCCCGATCCCTGGTGAACCCACATCCTAGTAAGACGCAGGTCCCACAAACCACCAGATCAATGGCTGGCAGCCAACGGGCAAAAGCCAGGTCCCAGAAGTGAGCAGTGAGGCTTCAAACATGGCTTCAAAATTGGGTGAAGGGGCGGAAGTAGTAGCCATCTAGACCATCAGTAGTAGCCATCAAGGACCCAAACACGCGCTAGGGTGCCAGGGGTTGGGTATTGGTTTCATGAATGAAAGCGTTACGAAGCACGGGTTGACATGGGGCCGTATTGCCGTCGCATCGTCATGCACCGTGCACCGTTGGCTCGGGCGTCTATGGAACTGACGCATGACACCGTTAACTTGCTTGGCCGAGGAAAGGAAGTGTGGACTGGAGGAGAGTAAAGAAAGGCATGGCGTGGCCCACGAGGCTTTCAATCAGGGACAGACAGTGATTGGCAGGTGATGGGAAACGGAACGGAAAATGGTCTGAAGTGTTCAAGGGCCTAAGGAAGGGGGGCCGACTGGGAAGGGGGCCATGGAGCACTGTAGGGGGAATGGTGCGGCCCTACGGCTCAGAGCCATAGTTCCCTGAATCTACCCTAGCTTGTGGGGCCCCCATGTAAATCAGCCCCTGTGCGGCGTTCGTGTTCCCAAATGCACGCTAGGAACCTCTTCAACCGTCCAACATAGAATGACCTGTGCCGGTCAGATAATCGATATGACAGCTTTCCTCAACATACCCTTACCACGTTCATCTCCTGCAGAAGTGCCCGTGACGGGGACAGCGGTAGTGCCTGCAGAATCCTCATCTTGTCCTCATTGGTTAACCCTTTCGGCAGCGATCCAATAATCGCCTTCGAGAGATAATTTGACGAGAGGCTGGAAGACGGCTGTAGAGGTAAGCTGTCATAGTTGCCCTGAGAAGACAGGGTCACTCTTTCATGTCAGCCGATCGTCACGTGCAGTGACGACAACCCTGGGACTGCCACCGCTCACCAGCGAGGCAGCAACATCTGGAGTTGTCTCCTCTCCTGCTCTTCTTCTTCGAGGATTAAGGGGGTAATCCGCCTGAGGCAGTCAGTGTTTGTCAGGGTTTACTTCCACATACCTAGCAAAGCAATATACGTGATTGAAGTATCCTTTAAAAGAATCCTACCAGAGGTACGCCATTCAAAAGCACATTCGTCGGAGCCGAGCCCACAATCGCGACATCCGCGATGTCGAGATTCCCAAGCTGCTCGGCAGTCGCACCCAACTCATCAGCAGTCTTCACTCCGTCTATTACGTCGGCATACTCTATGCATGGAAATGCAGCTGGGTCCAGGAAAGTCCCCTTGTTCTGGGCTGGTGCTACCGGAGCCGGGGCCGAAGCCCCGCCAGCAAGAGCAGCACTAAGAGCAGACTTCTTCATGACGTATCTTACTTTTCAGTATCGGCACTAATATGTTGTCAGGGCTTTGGAAATAGTAGGCCTGGAGGCCAGAATGGCGCTCGTACAGTACGCGATTTAAGCATCCAAGTAATTCAGGCAATTACACAGGCGGACGACATAACTTTTAGGATTAAGAAAATAACACAGATTGCCCTACAAATACACATTTAGATGCCGCATTACAAGGTAACGGCCCATGGGGCTCGTTAGGCATGCAGTGCGGCTGCGATGCGGACTGCTTCCCGGATTCCGTACGAAGACGACCCATTTCCGCTTTACCGCTACTCACTCCTCTCCACTCCCCTGCTCCAAGCCCTGCCACCACATCGGCCCCCCCCCCCCCAACTCATGCACCCACCGTACCAGCGCGTAAACCTCTTAACAACGTCTTTTACGTCCACCGAACGAGACATCATGCAACCAAGACTACCAGCTCCTACTACTACCTACATTCATGCGCCCAACTACTGTTCGCGTCACGCCAAAAAGGAATGGCAGCCGCCATCACGATACTGCGGTAATGCATGCACAGAATCGGCGCTTGTCATCCTTCTACACCCGCACTTGTGTGCGGAACTTGTAACTTATGTCGTGCGCCAAGACGCCACGTACATGTTGTCCTCCTTAGATTTCTATTTGCATTAATATCTATTTGCAGTAATAATCCCAACGATAGGCCTTGCCGTACATGTAGTGGGAAAGCGGCAAACGAGCGCGGCAACTGAATCCCATTCACCGCGCATCACGGGCAGCTACAGGAAAAAAAGTGAAGAATATCTAGCAGCATTGAACCTTGGTTGGCTGCATCGGCGTTAACCCTCTCTAACCCAGCTGCCCCTACCTTTCAGGTTATCCCCCTCATGTCCCACTTCATACTGGCCTTCACCCAGCCTGGCGTCCCCCTCTACTTGCTGTCAGGTATCCAGTAGCACCATGCAGATATCACCCTCCAGCTGCTTACAGTCCCTTCCCTATGAACTTAGGGTACCTCCCCGTTTCGATTCAACCCTGCCTGGTGCTGCATGTTCGCCGTGCCTACCGACAAGAAAGAAAGAGAGAGAGAGAGAAGAGAGAGAGAGAGAGAGAGAGAGAGAGAAAGAAAAAGAGAGAGAAAGAGAGTCGATACCTCGGCACACACACAAACCGGCCCCGCAGCTCATGTCAAGAGTATGTTAGCGGACCATGCGATGGCCGGCCGTCACCTCTAGGATATCCATCACACGCGCTCCGTATCCGTTCTCCGTTCTTTGGGGGGGCCTGATTGGAGGCCCGACCACGTGCGAGCTCCCGTACACAGGCCCACGTACGCTGGTGAACAACCACGGACCGCAAACGCGTCGGCAAATTGCTGCTTAAAGGGTATTATATTGTGCGTGGCAGCCCCTTAATGCGCATGGAGTTGCTGCCGTGGCGGCGGAACAGGGGTCCCGCAGGTAGGTGGAAGTTGACTGCTAAGTGATGTCGGCGAGTGTTGGTGATGGCAGTGGTGGCATGGGCGCGGAGGGTTTGCCCCGGCACCGCTTTGCGCGGGCGCAGTGAGTCACGTGCCCTGACCCTCAAAACCATGATGTACAACGCACGCCTCGGTGACGTACTCGCTAACCAGGACTCCTCACAAGGACACAGGATTTATGGAATCCTTTTCTACTCTGAAATTTACAGCTTTCGCACAGCTCATGAATGATACTGTTGGAAAACGCGAGACCGGTGCAACGGATACAAAGGTTCACTCGAGGCTCGATACGACAATCTAAGCGCTTCACATTGTTTGCATTTACATGTTATCTGTACGATTTGGTGAACATGCAGTGCATCAGGGTAGGGTAGTAATTGAACCATGGAAGCGAAACTTCTTCTGTCCTCTGCAATAGGTTGATAGGGTTTTGTCCATGGTCATGTAATCTTAGGGCTAAGCATCCCCGGAGGCAACCTATCTGTGCCCCAAGGGTCTGCAGGACACGTGGTGGTGTGCGGACTGCTGGCATCGGCGAGTAGGTCACGTCTTCCTGCTCCAACAGGCTTAACAGGCTAAACAAGCAAATAAGTTTGATATGAGTTAATAATGAAAGAGGAAACATACATGAATCCGACGACTTTCTTAACCGACTAACCGCCATATGATAAAGCTGGGGGTTCAGGGTTGATGAGAAAAAGTTACTATACAAGTAAGAATGACAGCTCGATATTATATCAGGCATACAGGTCAAATTTGGAGTCAGTGGCCTATGTGGTGTTGCGTACCGCACTTAACCCGCTGCCGTCTTCCAGCGAGCCGCGGATCTTCCCTGTTATCTAATTTTGAGTGCTATGTACACACATGAATGCGACATATTCAGAAGCGTTACGACTCCTTGGGTTTTCTTCAGACTCCCAGGCAAGCCACCGGCGGCGCTGCAGGGCGCTGAAATTCAGATGGAGTTATAGTTTTCATATAATTCCCTGTATCTCGTCTTACTTCTGCATCTTGCTTTCCTGCTGTCCCTAGGATGGGCTTCCGCCAGCCGATGCCATACGACGTGCATTTCGCCAAAAAGCTCTCTTATGGTGAGTTTACAACGCTGAATTTCAATCTTTGTATAAATCTACTGGATTGCATAAGGTTATCAGGTGAAGCATCTTCGGCGTGCCCTAACTACACCGTTACGTCTAGGACGCACACCGCTATAATCGATATTATAGACTTTTCACCTTGTGGGATCTCTGCATGTTCTCCGTTTTGGTGATGCGGAAGGCGGCTTAACAGTGCAGACAACTTCGTCCCCGCCATGACGTCGTTTCCCCTAATTCCAGCCCCCACCTCGTTAACGTTATCCACAAGCTGCGCCGCATCCTCTCACAACCTGCGATGACCTTCAGCAGAGTGCTTAGGGCTGCCGTACTACTATCACCTCCGAAACCAAAGCCCGGTTCCGTGTCCTGTGGCCTGTTCTGCCCTTAACCATCTGGGCAGATGATCTTGTTCAGGCTACGGGATCTCAGACGGAGACCGCTACAGATGGCACAATTACCTTGCTACGTCGCCACTCTTAAAAGCATTGCATCTGCTTGCTGTGCCTGATTGTGGGTTTCTATGCTCGTCCAGATCACGTCTGTTGCTGCTGCAAACGCCATGTAGCCACCATTACCTCCACTGACGCGGACCGCCACCGCGGCCGTTGCCGCCGCCAACCCATCCCTCGGACTTTCCGTACATACCAATCCCATGCGTGCAGGCACCCCGACAAGCACCCCATCCCTGTCAACGACGTGGAATTGGACGGGGCCCTGCCACCTCCGTTGGTCCCTGCGGCCTCTCCGCATCGACATGACGAGCCACAGGCTTTGACCGCTGGAACTTGCGATGGCACCGCTGCCGCCGCCGCCGCCGCCGCCGCCAACGGCAGCTACTCAGCTACACTCGAACCAAAACCCCTGTCTCAATCCAACCCTGCCCCTCACCCCCACCCTCAATGCCACCAAACGCAATACCGCCCAACTCAAGCCCAAGCGGCAGAGCATTTCAAGCGCCTCGCTAGCGCTTACCACATCCTCCTTCAGGCCTCTGCCTCCGCTTCCTCCGCCGCCGGGCGGTGCGATGCCCAGTGGTCGGCAGGTGGCGCAGCTGGTCCAGCATCAAGCGGGTGGCCCCGGCGTGGAGGGGCGGTACATCCGCATTCGCAGTCATGGGAGGGTACTGCGGCGCAACAGGAGGCGGAGGAGGAGGAGGAGTTTCTTGACGAGCTGTCAACAGAGTTGCTGCTGATGGAAGCTCACAAGATGCGGCTATCAGACTTCGACATGGTCTTTCTGTAAGTGGTGGTTGGAGCAGTTGGTCGGTGTTTGGTTTGTGTTTGGAGCGGTTGGTTGATAGTTGCACGGATGGTGTTGGTAGTGGTGGTCGGTTTTGGGGGTTTCGAGAGGGGTGTACGGGGAGGTGGTGAGGTGGCGGTGCTGTGGGGGGCCCTCTAATGGACCGTTTCCCACGGGAACTGAAACCGCCCCCCCGTCCGTGCCTGGCACGAACCCAGGATGTCAGCATGTGCACACGGCTCAAGGTCGTGACACGTAAGTCCCCTTAAAACCCTTTCCCTCAGTGCCCCGTCCCGGGTACCCTCCTTCCCAGTCGCCCTCTTCATCACCCGCTTGCCTGGCTGAATCCCCCTGACACCCTCAGGCACCAGCGCGCATGCGGGGCCGGAACTGCGGTATCAGATGTCTGGCCTGAGGCGGTTAGGTCGGTGGAGGACGTGTGGAGGAGGATACGGAGGAGGGTGGAGCGCCAGCGTAAGAGGCGCCGAGGTGGGTTGGTAGAAGGGCGGGCAGGGGTATGGAGGGTGGGTGGAGGATGGTTAGGTAGGGTGAGCTCCAGCCCTCGCAGCGGCCATGGGCTCCCCTCGGCTGGTGTGCGTGCAGGGCGTGTGTATCTGTGTGTGTGTGCAAGAGAGGAAGGATACGGATTGGGGGACCTATTTGCGCCTGGAGGGAAACGCCTCAGAGCGTTGCAAATGCAATAAGAACACAACGGCCAGCCGGGGAGCCGCATGCGCTTGCCCCCGTCACAAACCACGCAGCTGGGGCCCATGTGGACTCTTCCCAGCCTTATAATGAAACATACTCGTCGCGGTCATGCACGCGATAAAAGTGTTGCCTCCTTAACTCCTCATCAGGGCCGCCCGCTCCCTAACCACCCCTCCTTGCCGCTCAACCTTTATTATAGACGTCCATGTCCGTATCCCGCTTCCTTCGAGATAAGCGACGAGTCATCGCTCCTCTTTTCTTTCTTTTCTATCCCCTAGGCGCTGATGGCAGCGGCAGTGGCAGTGGCAGTTTTCATGGAATGTATGACGCCTACGTTGGCAGCAGCCGTACCACCGTACCGGCTGTGGGTGCTAAATGGGCCTTGTTGTCGGAGTTCCTGGCGGATATCGTGGGCGCGCCGAGAGAGCCGAACCAGACGCAGTCCACTGCTGCGGTGTCGGAAGCCGTTAGCAACACGTTCA